TAAATCCACACACAAAAAATACACTTAGTAGAAAAATGTGGAAATGAAATGAATATGTAGCTCCCAAAACAAAAACCTATGAAAAGTTTATTTAAACTCAACCTTAAAAAAAACTAAGCAAGAAAATGGGTATTTTGCCCTTATGAACACAGATGCAAAAATCCTCAACAAAATACTAGCAAACTGAATTCAACAACACATCAAAAGGATAATTCACTCAGGGATGCAAGGATGGTTTAACATACGAAAATCAATAAACATAATTCACCACATAAACAAAAACAAAAACAAAGACCACATGATCATCTCAATAGATACAGAAAAAGCATTTGATAAAATCCGGCATCCTTTCTTGATAAAAACCATCAACAAACTAGGCATAGAAGGAACACACCTCAAGATTATTAATAAAAAAGCCATACATGACAAACCCACAGCCAACATCGCAGTTGCATGGGGAGAAGCTGAAGCCATCCCGCTAACAACTGGAAGGAGACAAGGGTGCCCACCACCAGCACTTCTAGTCAACACAGCTCTGGAAGTCCAAGCCAGAGCAATCAGGCAAGAGAAAGAAATAGCATCCAGTTCAGGAAAAAGGAGGTAAAACTATCCCTGTTCATTGACAACGTGATCCTGTATCTAGAAAACCCTAAAGACTCCACCAAAAGACTCCCAGAACTGACGAATAAATTCAGCAAAGTCTCAGGTTACGAAATCAATGTACACAAATCAGTAGCCAACATGCTATCGTGCCTAATAAGAAGTAAATACGTGAGAAGCAAAATAGGAGAAAAAGATAGAATAATCAAGTGTATCAGAAATTAAAAAATGGTTTGGAATTATGAAGTCTATTATTTATATGTCACCGTATTAAAAAAATCTCACACACACAAATCAACCCACTTTCATGGCTGCCAAAAAGATATGTGTGATAAAAATTTAACATCCATAACAGTATCCATCTTTGATTAAAACTCATTTAGATGGATACTTTCTTAACATATCTATGAATTCTAACCCAAAAGCAAGCATCATATTTTAGGGGAGAAGCATTCTCATTCAGATCAGGTATAAGACAAAGATGTCCATTATCATCAATATCATTTAGTATGGTTTCAGATGCACTGGTAGAAAAGAGAAAAAAAATGAGGTACATACATTAAAGTTGAAGACTTTAAAATAATTATCGCTTGAAAATATCACTGCATATTTGGAGAAGCCAAAGAAATCAACTAAAAATCAACCCGAACATTAAGAGAATTCAGTATGGTGACTAAACACAAAACTAATATACAGAAATCACAAGTTTTCACATACATAAAAAACAAGTAGTCAGAAGATGTAATAAAAAATATAACACTGTTTATAACAGAAAACCTAGGAATAAACTTAAATAAATGTACAATATCTATATGAAGAAAATATTAAAACACTTCAGAGGAGCACAAACCTTGAATTCACAGACACCCATACCACAGTTTTGTTGATGCTCCCTGAATTAATAAGTTCTACTAATTTTATGCAATCCCAATAAAAAACACAACACAAAGAATTAAGGGCAGAGGATGACAAAAGCTGATTCTAAATTTCAAATGGAAAAATAGGCAAGAAAAAATAGCTAGAACATTCTGAAAAAGAAAAGTACCATGGAAAGAATTAGCTATTAATATATCACAAAAACACAAAAATTAAAATAGTGGAACTGAATACAAAGACAGATCAATAGAAGAGAAGAGACACTCTAAAAGAGAACTTTTGAAGTATGTCACAAAATCCAGACGCCTTAAAACACTCACTTTATAAATATAAAAAAAGGTCTGATTACTAGACACAGACCACACACAAAGATACAGAGCGAAAGGCCAAACAGAGCCAGGCACGGTGGCAGTGCCTGCAGTACCGGCTACTCTACAGGTGAAGGCAGGAGGATCACTGGAGCCCAGAAATTTGAGGCCAGCCAGGGCAACGTAGCAATACCCCCACCTACCCCCCCCCCAAAAAAAAGCCAAACAGGAAAAAATATCTGGAACTCACATCAGACTAAAAGAGTTCATTTTTCAATTGGGAAAGAACTACAAATCAATTTTTTTAAAAGGAAGGAACTCAAAATAAAAATGGGTAAAGCATATGAACAGATAACTTACAGAAAAGAAAATACAAAGGATTTTAAATATATAAGAATATGTTCAGCCTTACTAATAATAAAAGAACAGCAACTACACTGACAGGTTGTTTTCTCACCTATCAGACTGGCAAAAAGTCAGAATGTTTGTTAATACACTCGCAGACAAGTACGTGGGAGAAATAGCACTTTCATCCACTGATAGTAGAAACAAAAGTTGGTACAATCTCTCTAAGGCTACTTGGCTACCCATCAAAATTATAAATGCATATCCTTTCACCCAGCAATTCTACTTCAAGGAAATTATCCTAGAAACATACTTACATATGTACAAACTAAATATGTACAACATTTTTTACTACAGCATTATTTTATGTAAAAGTAGAAATTCTGAGCAAACTAAATTTCCATCAGTAGAGACTTTGCTAAATAAATTATTATCCATCTATACAATGCCATTAGTAATAATAATGTGCAAGCCCTTGAAAGGAGTTCCAAAATATATTAACTGAAGAAAAAAAAGTAGTAAGGAATGCTGATTTGTATTGAAACACATGTACACACACATACATATTTGCTTGTATATATATTATGCATGTGTCTGGAAGAATACAAGAAAAGAGGTAAACACAAAAAAGAGAATATGTTTTTGCTTGTATGTATTATGTGTGGACTATTTCTGGAAGAATACATAAGAAACAGGTAAGCAGAAGTGAGCAGTAGGGAGAAAAGAGTGAGGATATGCGTATTTTTAAAAATTTAAAACACCCACCAACAAGATAACAGGCAACCAACTTTTAGAGTGATGAAATTTTTATGATCACTTACTGAAAGCAAATAAAAGCCAAACTAATATAAACTACATATATAGGACATGACACTCTGTATATAACAGTAATAATAAAAACCTGCTAAATTTGATGTATAACAGATTTTTTTTAATCTTTTTTTTATTTCAGCCTATTATGGGGGTACAAATGTTTAGGTTACATATATTGCCTTTGCCCCACCCAAGTCAGAGCTTCAAGAGCATCCATCCCCCAGACGGTGCGCACCGCACTCATTAAGTGTGAATATACCCTTGGCCGCCTCCCCCTCCCATCTGCCCGACACCCGATGAATGTTACTACTATACGTGCACTTAGGAGTTGATCAGTTAACACCAGTTTGATGGTGAGTACATGGGGTGCTTGTCTTTCCATTCTTGGGATACTTCACTTAGTAGGATGGGCCCAGCTCCATCCAGGACAATACAAGAGGTGCTAGATCACCATTGTTTTTTGTGGCTGAGTAGAACTCCACGACAGAGATTTTTATTCCTTGGCTATTATTAAATGTTAAAAATAAAATGGGACAATGTCAATTATTTCTACTCTATTATTTAAAAAAAAAGATGAACGATAAATACAGTGTCTCTTACAACCGCTATCTCAAGGGTGTTCCTCATCTTCACTAAAAAAGGGGGGCAATTATCAGTACTTTTTTATTTATTCCAGAGTTAGCCTCTTTCCAATGATTAAGGTAAAAGAGAAAAAGAAATTTTCCTTTCCTTGACACACGTACACTATGTGTTCATTGTAGTAGCATGTTTTTCAGTTCAAAATTATCACCTTATTTATCACGTAAACGGAACTGCACCATCCCGTGTGGTATACTAGTTCATTACAGTTCCAATAAAAGACAGGAGGGACAGACAATGTCAGTTCAAACACACTGGCAACTTACAAGGCACTTTTCAGAAACAGCATGAGAAGCACTACTGAAAGATACTAACGGCGCTGACTTCAAAATTTCAAAAAATAAACATGCAGAGCAGTTTTAACAATCGACCTACTGCAACAATAACTAACTGCAAAAATATAAACTGAGGAATGAGAAGAAACCTTGACAGCACTCAGGCGTCGCTCACTGGCGGGAATGAGGACGTGGGCGAGAAGAGGCCTCAGCACTCCGAACGCCTGCACCTTACCTTCTTCTGAAGAACATTGACCTTCCGCTCCTTCACGTCCAGCATGTCCTTGAGGTCGTGTATCTCTCCAGCTTGTGTCCCCTTCTCCTCAGCCATATCCTGAATTTGTTTTGTCTTTTTATTCAGCATGGTTTCCTTCTCTTCCAAACGCAATCGGAGGGCATCCACCTAAGAATGTAAGATTTTAAAAGTGATTAATTACGTCCCTTACAAATAGATGTGTTATGAAGAGGTTATAAAGAGTTTTGTTATTTCTATAAAAGTAGTATAATCTACAACTATTTTTCTCAAAATTTATATGCATCAGGATCACCGGGAGGGTTAAAGGAGATTGCCAGGCCCCGTCACCAGTTTCTGATTCAGCAGAGTTGGGGATCAAAATTAATATTTCTAACAAGTTTACAAATGAAGTTATATTGCTTTAGAAAATCTAAAATTGGGGGGGCGGGAACAAAACCAAAAGCATCACCAAGCATAACATAACATTTGTTGCATCAGATAATACAATCTAGCCATAGGCTATGATGCTCGTAAGACAAACAACCCATAGTGCACTTAGATATCCATACAAGGCAAAAGCAAAGGTCTGCTGTTAGACACCAAGACTAACCAGCTAAAGTCCGCTATCCAATTACTTTTATGCCTGAAGTTTAGCAGCTTTTGTTAGATATAACTTAAAAAAAAAAAAAAGAAAGAAATTTAAGGATATTTATTTTAAAATCCATTCACCATACATTTCATTAAGCTCTTAGCAACCCACAGATATTCACGCAACATTTTTTCTTTTTTGCTTTTCTACCAAGGACTAATAATTCATCAAATAATTAAACATATAATTATATAACAGCAAAACAGGAAGGTAGATTTCTTTCACCTAAGACAGTGCTGTTCAACAAGAATATAAGTCATATTTGCAAGCTACATATGGCACTTTTAATTACCACATTAAAAAGTAAAAAAGAAACAGGTAAAGTTAATTTAAATAACATTTTTTAAAACAATAGAGATGGGGGTCTCGCACTGTCACCCAAGCTAGAGTATAGTGGTGAAATCACAGCTCACTGCAACCTCAAACTCCAGGGCTCAAGCAATCCTCCCGCCTCAGCCTCCCAAGTAGCAAGGACTACAGGTGTGCACCCACCATCCCTGGCTATTTTTTCTTATTTTTTATAAAGATGGGGGTCTCACTATGTTGCCCAGGCTAGTCTCGAACTCCTGGCTTCAAGCAATCCTCCCACCTTGACCTCCCAATGTGCTGGAATTATAGGTGTGAGCCACTGTGCCCAGCCTTAAATAACATTTTAATCTATCTGCAATATTGTCATTTCAAGCATATAATACATATTAAAAGAATATTAACGAGCTATTTTACATTCATTTTTTCATACTAAGTCTTCAAAGTCCAATGTATATTTCACACCTCGATTTGGGCTGGCCACATTTCGAGTGCTTAATAGTCACATATGACTGGTGGCTACCACACTGGACAGTGTAAATCTAAGAAATAAACTATGTTTTTCTATAAATCATCTCTCATCTTTAACTTGTCCTATATTATTTTTCCTATATGACTGTGAATTAACCCACACAGAAAAAAAAGATAATATGAGAAATGTTTCATATTTAGAGTACATCGACGCCCTCAGGAAGATCTAATACAGGTTGAGCATCCCAAATCCAAAAATCTGAAATCCAAAATGCTCCAAAATCCAAAACTTTTTGAACACTGACAAGATGCTCAAAGGAAATGCTTATCGGAACATTCTGGATTTTTGGATTAGAGATGCTCAACCAGTAAGTATAAGCATAATGCAAATATTCCAAAATCCGAAAAACTCTGAAATCTGAAACACTTCTGGTCCCAAGCATTTCAGGTAAGGATACTCAATCTGTATCGTAACCTAATTTGGATACAAGGCATCCAAGAGCCAGCACTGTGGAGAACGGTGGCACTTACTGCTCATTAATTGTTATGGAAAATTTCTTAGGAGACTAGTCTCGTTTGAGACTCCTACAGTTAAGTCATTAAGTACTTACAAATTATGCTGGACTACACGACAAAGGAAAAACATGTATTAATATGAATAGATAAACCACATTTCACTGCGCTGAACTCCATTTCCACCAACCAGTTCCATGCACTAGTCTCGCCAAGTCAGAAACTGAGGAAGCAATCTTTTTGGGTCCCTTTATAATTCTTCACCACAAGTTCTACCATGACCACTCAATAAACGCTTTCATCTCTAATTTACCTCTACTCTACTTGAAAAAAAATGATATAGTTAACTTCTATTATAGTCTGGAAAGATCCAACTAAGAACTTTCAAACTCTGAAAATCTTTTTTCTGAATCACAAACACTATTCATTCTTTTCTTTCCCCTATACCTATTAAATCTACTCTTTGTCCATAGCTCAACCTCTATCCCCCTATCTTTCTCATCATTCACCTCTGTTCTGGTTTTATTTGTTTTTTCCCCAGCCTAAGTAATCATTTCAACACATCATCTCATTTTGTTAATCATACCTATTTCACTTTACTTCTTCTGTATTAAAGTTTCCTTCGTTCTGCCCCCAGACTTCTGAACCTACGTGAGGATACATACCTTCTTGTCAACCATACACAGGGTTTCCCCCTTATCTGCGGGGAATACATTTCAAGACCCCAGTGCATGCCCAAAACTGCAGACAGCACCGAACCATAAACACACACACATGCACTACGTGTTTTCCTTTACACACGTATCTGTGATGAAGTTTAATTTATAAATTAGGCACAGTAAAAGATTAACCACGGTAACTAATAATACAATAGAATTACAACAATATGCCAGATCACTACTCTTGTGCTTTGGGGACATTATTAAGCAGAAGAAGGGTTACTGGAGCATTAGCACTGCAATACCAAGACAGCTGTTCTGATGGCCACGAAGAAACTGATGGGCAGGTAGCATACACAGCATGGATACCCTGGGCAAAGGGAGGATTCACGTCCTGGGTGGGATGAAGAGGAAAGATGTGAGATTTCACACTACCAGAACAGTGCACAATTTAAAACTTACGAACTGTTTATTTCTGGAATTTTCCATTTAATGTTTTTGGACCGCAACAGACTGCAGGTAACAAGAAACCGCAGAAAGTGAAACCACAGATAAAGGAAGACTACTGTATGCAATACATTAGTCACGGTTCTAGCCTCAGGTGTCGTATTTTCTTCGCTTGCCTTCTCCCTATGGAAGATTTCACGCTCTCCCATGGCTATGTGGGAAACTGGGACTTGGAGAAGGTGGCAGACCCAAGATTTCACAGCTGCAAGTAAGTGAGAGAGCAGGGATTTAAGATTAACTGCTCTGTCTTCAGATCCTACACTCTGACTACTAATCATGCAATACACCCCTCCCCCCGATTCCACAGCACAGAACTCAGGGCCTCCGTGATCCGCTGGTCCCAGTCTACCACCCCTGCTTCATCTTTGCCACACACCTCCCCACCTGCCTCCAGAGGCTCCCCATTCTAGCGCCACACCATTCTCTGAAAAGTACCATGCTTTCTGTCTTCCTTGTCACTGTGCACATTTTGTCCCACACTTACAATATCCTTAACCACTACCATTTAAAAAAGTTCTGCCTACTGAACACATCTCACAAGGCCCTCTTCCTATGCTACCAGTTTAATAAATACGTTCCAAATCCTCAACAGACGACTGTTAATACAATCTCCCTGCTCTGTTCCCATAGCACTTTATTACAGAACTTACCGTTTCTTTCCAATCATATATCTATATTATCATATAGAACTTATCCTATTCCTGTACCTAAGGAAAGAACCATATTTTGCTGACATTTTTATACTAAGTAATCCTATCTCACTCAAAACACACAACACTGCAAAGTAGCTAATATTATCCCTATTTTAAAGACAATAAAACTGGGACCTAGAGGAGTTAATTTATTCCACATTACAGAACTAGCAAGTGAAAGGACTGAAATGCAAAGGCTACATATGACTCAGAAGATTACAATCTTTTATCACACACCAAAGGATACCAACACAAAAGGAACAGAGGGGACACAGAGGATGGGATAGCTCTCCGCTGACCAACACGTCAAGGGAGTCAGGAAAGGTTTCTGAAAGAAATAATGTCTCAACTGGGTTTTGAATGATGACGAGGACATCACTAGATATAAAAGGGACAGCAGAGAGAAAGGCACAGACTTTCTAGGGAGAGGAAATAGAATGTTTAAAAATATAGAAACATGAAAGAACATGATATGCTTGTAAATTCACTTAGTATGGCTTAGCATAAAGTAAAAGAAGACAGGCAAGAGACAGCCTTAAAAGACAGTAGGGCATAAAGACCTTGGCTGCCAAAATAAAGTGCTTGAATTTTATCCTGCTCACAAACGCAAGTCACTGAAGACTGTGAAGCAGGGGAAAGTCACAGTCACATTTGTGCTCCAGAAAGATCATACCGGGTTGGTCACTGGAGGTGCAAAGATAACTAAGACACTCCCTGTCCTCTGCAGAAGTTGCCATGATGGAGAAGAGAGATGCACACACAGATCACATAAATACATTAATATTACAGGAACTGCCGCACCGCAACAGCGAGAGAGAGAGAGGGTTTCTCTTAAGTACAGAAAAGAAGCATTGACTTAACTCGGCCTGCTGGTCTGCAACGGACGCGGAGAAGCCTGAACAAAGAAGGGAACCGTGAGCAGATGGCGGGTGGCTGGTGAGAAGATGATGGGGGAACTCTTTGAGCAGAGATACCACAAATAACAAAGTGCAGAAAGGGGGTTCGCTTCACAGACAGCCACAAGCAGAGAAGTGCTAGAGCACAGAATGGGAGGCACAGAGTGTGCGGCGCAGCTGAAGACAGGGTGCCAGTCGCAGAAAGCCGCCAGCATCTTACTGGCTGGGTACGAGGGAGAACAGAGACAAAAGCATCAGCCGTGGCTTCTCAGGTTTCTGATGAAGACGACTGGATGGGTTTTAGCTTTTGATAGAGAATAAGAACCTTATTTTTGGTGTGTTATTTCTGACATAGAATGTATCTTAAAAGCCTCCCTGATGATACCTAAAATAACTGACAATGACCTGAAGAATACCCGATAATGACCAGAAAATGGGCTAGAAATCCTGAAAAACCCAACTGTTTTAGTTTCTT